TAGGAAGTGAATTGCAACCTCTTCATTAGGAATCTTCTGCCACTCCACTATATCATCTTTTTCTCTTGCATTTGTCTCCATTGCATCTTGGCAGGCAGTCATCTCTTCCTGCCAGACATTCATATTGGCTTTCAACCTCTTGTCTTGCATGGCAGCCATCCTTGTTTCAATGGCTCTCGTTTCTCCTCAGAAGGCTTCTCTTTCTGCGGCCATCCTTGCCAGGAAATCTTCTTTGTCTTTCTTCCTATTGGCCTCCATTTTCACCAGTAGGCGTTCAGACACTTTTTCCATCTCCATCATCTGCTGCAAGTCCATTTTGTGGCACTATAATAGTCGATGCACTCATAAACTCAATTCAAGAATTACCCAGCATTTTATGGAACCCGAAGGTTCATTACCGTGTTCATAAGAGCCCTCCACTGGTCTCTATCCTGAGCCAGATCAATCCAATCCATACCATACCATCCCATCCAATCTTTCTAAGATCCATTTTAATATTGTCCACCCATGTATGCCTTTGTCTTCCCAGTGGTCTCTTTCCTTCTGGCTTTCCCACCAATATCCCATATGCATTCCTCGCCTCCCCCATTCGTGCTACATGACCTGCCCACCTCATCCTCCTTGACTTGATCATTCTAATTATACTTGGAGAAGAGTACAAGTTATGAAGCTCCTCATTATGCAGCTCTCTCCAACCTTCTGTTACTTCATCCCTCTTTGGTCCACATATTCTCCTCAACACCCTGTTCTGAAACACCCTCAGTCTATGTTCCTCCCTTAATGTCAGAGACCAAGTTTCACACCCATACAGAACCACAGGCAGAATTATAGTTTTGTGTATTCTAATTTTTATGTTTTTGGACAGCAGACGGGAAGACAAAAGGTTCTGGACTGAATGGTAGCAAGGATTACCCAAGTTCAATCTCCTTTTAATTTCCTCCTCAATCAGATTTTGATTTGTTATCATCGTTCAAAAATATCTGAACTGTTCCACATTTTCAAAACATCTGCTGTTTTCTATCGTTACGTCATCGTTTTATCTTATTTTCTGATGATGAAACAGCAACATATACTTAGCTTTCTGTGTGTATACTTCTAGGCGAACTTCCTTACTTGCGTCAATTAAAGTTTGCGTGCTTTTCTTTATGGTATTCATATTGTCACTTGTTGGGTATATGTCACACAACAAATAACTTCACACCGTCTTTCATCTGGCGAATTTATTCCACTCGCTCTCACAATTACACCACTACTGCCATATGCAGTATGACAATTACTTCTCCACTGGAGTCACTGCCATTCACTCAATACAACTCGACTCGTCGACTGCTAGACCTCAACTGACTCCGGCGAATGCTAGACTGCAACTGACTGGTTACTCCAGTAATCCTCTCTTTATGTAGCTTCCGTACTGACAACACAGAAAAGTTACGTGATAGCTATCACTGTTGCATAAACGTCGTGTTAACAGGCTTTGCTGGGTAAACCTGCCTAGAGTTGTTTATTGTTGGGTAGTAAGCGCAGTGTCCCCTGTTATGTCACCGCGGGGGAGGGGGATGGAGCGTTGACTGGCCCGTTACCATAGCAGCGGCAGTTGCTCCGATGATGTTACGTCACCGCTGGAAGTGTGTGTGTGTGTGTGGGGGGGGGTGCTTACCGACCGCTGCACCGTCCACGTCACAATATTATCACCCAGTAGATTCACATCTTCGGCATAGACCAACAGCTGAGATGTCCTGTTTAATTTCAGTCCCACCTGGTTTTCCTGGACCTTCCTAATGGCATATTCTAAAGCAAAGTTGAAAAGGAGTGGTGATAAAGCATCTCCCTCTCTTAGACCATTCTGGATAGGAAATTTATCAGACAAATGTGCGCCTATATGGACTTTACTATAAGTTTCTTCTAAACACATTTTAATCAGCTTAACTAGTTTCATGGGTATCCCAAACTCTATCAGAATATTGTACAATACTTCCCTCTTAACTTAATCATAGGCTTTCTTGAAGTCTACGAATAGCTGATGTACTTCTCATTGTACTCCCATTTTTTCTCCAGTATCTGACGAATGCAAAAGATCTGATCTGTAGTTGATCTGTTACGTCGAAACCCACACTCATGATCCCCAATAATTTTATCTATATACGGACTTAACCTTGAGAGAAGAATATTGCATAAAATTTTGTATGAAGTTGACAGCAGTGATTTCGCCTGTAATTACTACAATCAGTTTCATCATACTTCTTGTGAACTGGTATAATAATGATTTCTTCCACTGATCAAGCAATTTTTCCTTATGCCAAACTGATGTAATCAGCTTATGGATCTTAGAACGTAATATTTCGCCTTCTGCTTCAACAAGTTCTGCCAGAATTTGATCACTATCTGGTGATTTATACCGTTTCAATTCTGCAATAGCAATTTCAACCTTAAAAGGATGGAAATACCGCCTTGGTAAAGGTAATCAAATTATTGTTGTGACAGTCAATCAACACCTGACCACAGATAAAAGGCAATGTGCCAATCATATATAAACATCGACCATAAAGGAAGATGTGCAATAAAAATAAAAAAAAAAAAGCAGCATGACTTGCTTGGTAATGGCAGCTATACATGCTATAATGATCTCTCTTACGTGTGGCTGACATACAACCATTGAAACTAGGAAAAACATGTCCAAATAAATTCTACAATCATAGATTTTCAAAATATACTGCATGCAGTTATTAAACAGTTGCTAAAAGAAAGAATTTTCTATTACAAATTGAATGTATGTAATATGACAAAAAATAGCAAAAGCTACAAAACACAGAATTCTCAATATGAACATGGTGCCCCCATGCCCATGCAAATAACTAAGTACTCGAAAAAAATCATAAATCTAATTCTACTCAGGCAATATCAGGAACACAGTCGGATGAAGAGTGTCTTTATACATAACTAAATAACCACTGTCCAAGACAAGGAGCAGAATACAGATGCAAATCACAGAAAACTTCTGTCATGAATAAGGGGTTGGCATAGCTAATAATTATAGGTTAACTGGCAAATCTTTACAATTACAATCAAGTATTATAGCTCACAATAAATCTTAACTGACGAGGCCTCTAATCATTCTGCTTCATGTTCTATGACTCTCTTTTCTTCACTACTTCAAATTCACTGCTTTTTATAGATACCTGAGAACGTGATACAGATCACCGCCTCCAAGGGTTCTATTCTCCTCTTCGAGAATGTGTTGCCAGAAACTATATATTCATTCCCAAGTAACAGCTCAGTTTTCGTAGCATTTACAACTCATTACCTGGTAATGACTCATTCACTGCTATTCATTGTAATGGAAACTAGTGTTTACTTAGCCATTGCTTGTGGGGCCATGCCATAGCTCAAGCAGTTAGTCACTGGCTTCCCAACGCGGCAGCCCGGGTTCGATCCCGGGTCTGGTTAAGTGGGATTTGTGGTGGACAGAGTGGTGCTGGGGCAGGTTTTCTCTGAGTACTTCGGTTCCCCTGCCATTCTTCATTCCACCAATTGCTCCACAATCACCCTCACCTATCATCTGGGGCTGGTACAATACGGCAGAAGTGGCCGCAATACAAGGGACTTAGTACCACCCCACTAGTAATAAATAAAAATAAATAGCCACTGCTTAGTGAATGTTCATATCCCATCACAATATTTACCCTAAAAACAAATTTGATTTACATATTAACACACATATACTTCTATGGAGGAACTGATTGAGTGTACCCTTCCATGTTCCCTTGAATGAGCGCAACTGAACAAAATAAGCATAGGTTTTTAGTGCACATATAGAACTGCCTTCACTGCCTTTAAAGTCACAGTCCAGCAATAAATTTCCTAGCATCCTGGTCAGTCACTCGTTCACACTCAGTCATGTCATCCTCATGAGTTTCCTGATCTTCTGATGTCTTCTGGTGTTTCACTGTAATTTGTTGAGCAACTGCCTAACTCCTCACAATCTTCACTTTCATTATAAGAGTGTTCAGCACTTACAGCACTAGCACTGTCTTTCTTGCCATGTGCCTTTTTCAATTTTATCCCAAACCTGCATTTCTATCGGGACAACCAAACATCTGTTGCTTTCAAATCGTTGTGACACAGCTTTTTAGCTAGCTCCTCTGACTTGCTCTTCAACACTGGACCACTAATGCGTACATCTTGTCCAGTGACAATGGAGAACTTCAACAGCTCCCTGCTGCCTGTGGCATAATGTCCATTCATTTCGCAGTTTCTCTTGCTGCTGTATAATGCATGCACTCCCACCGTCTCCACCAGTTGGTGTTCACTGATGTTACGCAGTTAGCTTTTAATTTGTTCAAGTAGGGCAATTGTGTCAGAAAGTATTAAATTTCTCCTACGCATTTCTGTGGGGATCTAAAATTTTAAATGAGAAAACTGCTGCACATGACACAGCAGACTCACAAATGCAGTCACTGCAAGACTGAAGGCAACTGTAGCTAGGTGTTCACTTATACTGACTGATCAGTGACTCAGTGATGATGTAGTAATCACAACTCCTGCCATGTGGCAGCTACCAGCCCAATTTAACTGCATGGTATCCAAAATAAATGAAGTAAATTCTTGTTATATTCTCAGTTTACTTTTCTTCTCCAAGATTTGCCTCAAATAAACGGCTGTCCCCTTTAACCAGTGACCCTATTAACCAGAATCCACTGTATTTGAAAATATTTAAAAATTTAAATGCTGTTAAAGAAAAAAATCTGAACAACTTGGGGAAAGTGCATGCGCAGAGATGGGGAGGGAGCAAGAGACATACATTACAACGTTTACAAAGCGAACTTCAACATAAAAATTACTAAATTTAACACGAACAAATGGGTAATGCATAAAATTATCAACTGCAATTCGGACAACCCAAGTTTTAGTTGCTGATAAGTCCCACTATGATAATTGAGAATTCTGTATTTTTTTCCATTAATAAATTTAAAAGAAAAACAATATATATTCATGGCACTTACACTCACCCTTAGGAATCGTCCACGTGAGTTTTCCTTTAGGTCCAGATAATAGCGCCGGTTGTCCTTGATCATCATCTCGGACTTGAGCTTACCATCTTCTGGGACATTTTCTGGATTTGGTGGGCCTAGGGAGGCATAAAAGTCACTAAATGTCGACAAGTGATCTCTAAATTCTGCTGCTGTTGACAGTGCTAGGAAAATTTGACTCCGCCTACCATCAGCCCCAATCTGAAAAACAGAAACTTTTGTATAAAATACTGGCCTGCAGAGTAATCTGATCTAGTCATTTTACATTAATATAAACAATCCTGTCCTTTCCTTGAATATGAAAATTTGACCACAGCTTGTAAAGACTACTCTCTGGTAAGTGCTAGCTAAATGAATTAACAAAGGGGAAGTCCTAATCAAAATGTGGACATTATGAAAAACAGTTCCATAATTAAATTGGTAAAACTGTCCATTCTTTGCTCAATTTTTTTTTAAATTGAATGTACTGAAACAATAGACCTCCACTTAGTATAACAATTTTATGAATATACGTGTATATTTCCATCAACCAGTGTTTTATAATTTACAGGCATGGTGGTGAAAAGTGATTGCTAATACATTAAAAGGTATAATTGCAACAAAACTGCAGTGAACATAAAATGTTACAAATATGCCTGAAGAGACTGCCAGCTGATGAAAATGTGGTGAACATGATTCATATCAGCATAAATTGATTATGGGTGCCTATCAACTGGTTCAGGGATGGAGAAATGGAGAATACTGAACAAGAAGATGGTATGATGTGCAAGACATACAGTATCTTAGATCTTATAATTATGTGTAAAAGTTATAATTAACAGTAATCTGACAGTCACTGGGAATCCTAAAGAATGTTTTACAAAATGTTACTATTGGGCATGTATGCACCTACCCCTTGATTCCTTTAGACATCAACATTAAATAAATTAACTGAACAATTCTTGTGGACTTGTAGCCATACCATAATAATTCAGTGATACCAGCATGGTGGCAATGCAAATTTGTGAGAAAAATATATGTTCATAGGGGTATATTCTTAGAAAAATGGAAAATAATAGGGCGATCAGATGAAATACTGTGATGTGAAATATGAAACAGAGTGATTGACATGTGGAATCTGTATCATTACCTATAACACAGCCATCCACTAGCAGTATGAGTGTAAACCTACACTGTCTACTCTTTTGACATACTAAATACATCACACAAGAGTTCTCTTATTACCTGCTCTATTACTCTGTCACATTTGAACAGGGAAGCAGTTCAAAATACTGTAATGGATTTGATCAATATGTTGCCAGGAAACAGCTCTGTAAACACAATCCAATATGCAATAGATGAGACTATGTTTTCTATGTCGTTCATGCCAAGCAGCGGTGGAACAACCCGTTTCTAAGCAACGGTTTGGCAAACACACTTCCTCGTAGGCGGTGATATCACACAACAGCGGACAGCGACCATGTGATGTGTTTTCTGTAGGTCCGCACCTAAGATTTATAAGGGGCAACGTAAGTTGTTTGCAGGCAGTTGTAAGCTGGAGGAGTAACAGATGGACTTCACTTGAGTTCTGAAGTTCCAAGAGATCAGCAGGAAGAATCAGAAAACTTAGTGTGACATCACATGAGCTGTAGTACATCAATATTGGGAGTGTGTGACTATATCTCATAAGGAGGTCACTGAGCCAAATTCAAGGACGTTTCCCGCCCAACAGCAGTCTCTAATACCTCTGGTAGATGGGGGAAGCATTATAGATACCTCTCAGCTAGTAGAGCCGGTCTCGCTGGCTGGGCGGGACTGATGGTAAGCACCAGTACCGGTAGGATATAGAGACTGGTAGAAATCATAGAGAGGCACAATGGACCAATACAGGTCTAAGTGCATGGGGAAACCCACCCTCTCCAATAACTAACTAACTAACTAATTGAGACCTTTATAATTTGTGAAGACTACTGAAGATAGACTGAAGAGATTAGCATGGGTAGAAAGTAGAGAACATAAAGATCATCATGGAAAATGTATGAGAAGTAATATGGTGGATCTATATGATTCCATGAGTTCATGGCCTAACTGTAAGAAGGGTTCACCCTATATCCATAAGTAACAAGATAAGTAAAAACTTAACCTGATTCAATAGTTTATGGAAGAACATATTATTATAAGCAGTTCAAGTATCATTAGTGCTGGCATATTTACATACAATTTTTTTGAGGTCCATATTTATGGAACTATGAGCTAGTGGCTCTGTTTTTGAGCAATATTCTGCAGTCATCCAATATTCACCTTATAGATCCATATTTACACCATCTTTACTTCTGCTTATTGAATAAAATGGTAAATTTTGAAGGGTGCTGTCACTGGCATAATACATCTTGGATTACTGAGTTTCTAGATTTCACTGTTCATCTAGTATTCCGAAAGAACAGAATATTTTGGGATACTAGATGCTGGACAAAGTCCAGAGCCTCAGTAATCCCAAACAAGAATGGTGTTACAATAAGAACAAGTTTTCAGATACTCTGTGGAGGCATAATGACCACAGTATTTCTGACGTGTCTCTTCGTTTTGTGATATAAACAGCAATGTAGTTTGTAGAAGTTAATTTTTCTCAGACAGTTTTAGTTAACTGAGTTATTATTTGACTGATGTAATTATCAGACATTTATTAATAATTATTTATTTAACTGGTTAAAAATTTACACATACTTTATACATCTGGCCATTAATTAGGCCATGGAGGCAACATTTATAATGGTGTATGAGAATTATGTAATTTATGAAACACAGCAAGTCTGAATTGGTGGTACTGCGAAACTGAAAATCACTTACCATCATACCTTGGCCAACGCAAACATGTGTTGCATGCTATCATCAAAATCTTATACTAAAGTTTAAAATTCCACTGAAGTTCCAAATCAATAATGAGATCTTAACTATCTTAAGTGAATACATTTTATAAGCAAATAGTTTCAATTGCAGAGTTTTGTACTCTGAAACAGCCAGCAGTGCATTAGTGTAACAGTGCACTCTGTTATGAATCTTCATTTCTTTTTTACTTTGGTGCTATAGCTCAAATTTTCCAATTGGCCTACCTCCATGGAACTCTCAATTTCACTTTAGTTTACTAGATCTTATACATTCAGTAGGACTCCTTGGGCAGGTGATCAACTCATCACAAGGCCTCTACCTGTATACAAACACAGAAAAATGCACACACACACACAAACATCAAAGATCCATGTCCTGTGTGGGATTCGAACCCATGATCCCAGCTTCCGAGCGAGTGAAGACAGTGCACGCCTTAGACCTCTCGGCTACCGTGACCAGCACATCTTCATATAGTTCAACTTAAGTGCCTTCACGATACCTTCTCGTGGCCACTAAATTAATCTCTACCCAGCAATTTGGAAATTTTAGCTGAAAAAAAAATCATGGGAGTATACCTCTCATTGGAGCCCAATGCTATAACTGATTCTTATTATTCAATTCTAATAACCCCAACAAGGAGAGGAGAATGAGGCGTCAGACATTCAGGCATAGAGAAGGCAGAGGAGTGCCAACCAGCATGAAGGGTTTGAAGTTAGAACATCAATTCTGTGGAAAGAGGATTCTCCATACCACCCAGAGAGGACAGCCCAGCTGAATGACATCTGCCTCCAACCAGAAAAAAGGAAGCAGTCTACTGTTAATGTAGATAACAGTACAGAATGCTTTGAAGATTCCACAAACAGAGCACGCTTGGCAACATGATGTGCAGTGCCCAATACACATTTTGCACATCTGAGGCCACAAAGACTGTACATGAGAATAATATACAGCTTGTGTATGTAACGTGTTCAATTAGCAAGGGTCAAGCATTAGGTAAAACACTGTGTGCTATCACTAACTCGCCAGAGCAACCTTCTCAACTCCTAACTTATAATATTATGAAGAAAATTGTGAAAGTGTGCCATGAATTCAGTGTTTTGTGCAGTAAAGGAAGCTGTGAAGTATAAGAAAGGGTCAGCTCATCTCACAATAGCACTGGATGGGACCTGGCAACAGTGAGGACTCTACAGAACCTGCAGCCAGTGAAGATACAGGGAATATGACAGATGCTGAAATGCTTACAGAGTACTGCCAAGGGTATGAAAATGTGAAAGAAAATACAGAATATTGTGGCAACATAAAACTAATGATACATGCAAGAAAAATTATAGTAATGAGATTGGTGGGTTGGAAGCAGCTGGTGCAATTTCTATATCTGCAATCTCTGTAAAATCCTGTTGTAAAATACAAATAATATGATGATCACGGAGACAGTAAAGCCTGGTAGCAATACAGAGAAAGAAACTTCAATGTATTGCGCATGTACAGATGAGAATAGGGTCTTGTCTTTGTAGATCACTCAGGGATTACAAACGGAAGAAGTTTGATGATGATGAATTCTTGACAGGGAAAGACACACTGACAGAAAAAAAGACAGATAAAAGAATTAATATGGGCAAGCAGTTATAAGGAATAAAGGTTGCCTTGAAATAATGAGGAAAGATGGGCAAGCAACATTCCTCCATAAAATATTGTAACGTGTTTTGGTTACCGAAGACGCCGTTCGGATTGTTAACTGGTTTATTCAATAACCTACAAATCATGGCTACAATTATAACAATATTGTGGGGTTTCACAATTCATAACCCCATTCGCAAATCAAATCACGCTACTGTCAGTAGACTACACGTTTCACAGTACGGGAGCTATACAAGTGTCACTGTGTTACACATGCCCAATTAATTCTCGGTTATCACAAACTGTCACTGATTATCACACTTTTACTCGTTCACTGCTGACTGGAGAACTGTCTTCGGCCGCTGATACACTTTTAACTCTGCTCGCAGGCTGCTGCCTTGAGGACTGTTGACAACACACTCACTCGACTACTACTGAACTCGCCGACGGCCACATTAAAACTCCTCACGCTTGCTGCTCAGCCGGCTTTTATTCCGTTCGCTGTTGCCTGTTGCCCGCGTCAACAGCGTCGTTGCGTGTCACGTCACAGTCTCTGCGTACAGCCTAGCAACGCTGTTACCTCACGCCGTCTTATGTCACCGCGCGTTGCGCGTTACGTCACCGCGCACTGACTCGCATTGCATAGCTACCAGGATGTTGGGACTCGGCTAACTTCGGTTCCGCTCGGGGCGTCAGCTCCCGGGGGGGGGCGTCCAGCT